TTTGATGGTTTCTATGTCCTTTTTAATGTTTACTATCTCATTAAGTTCTCACTGAAATCCATTCTTCCCCCAAGGTACTTGAGCATCCTTACAACCATTGTTTTAGACTGCTTTTGGCCCTGACTGGTGTGGCTCAGTGGGTTGGGGATCATCCCACAAAGGTTGCCAGTTCAATTTCTGGTCAGGGCACATCCCTGGGTTTCAGGCCACATCCCTGGTTGGTGGTATGCTGGCCAGGTTCCCGGTTGGGATCATGCACATTAATGTTTCGCTCCCTCTTTTTTTTTTTTTTTCCCTCTTTCTTCTCTTTCTTCAACCCCCTTCCCACCATCATTCCCTCACCTTAGTTCATGTTCATGGGTCATACGTATAAGTTCTTTGGCTTCTACATTTCCAATACTATTCTTAACCTCCCCCCCATCTATTTTATATCTATCATTTATGTTTCATAGTCTCTGCACCTTTCCCCCATTCTCCTTCTGTCCTCTCCCCATTGATAATGCTCCAAGTGGTCTCTATTTCTGAGATTCTTTTCCTGCTTTAGTTGCTTGCTTAGTTCCTTTTTCTTTTTTTAGGTTTGGATGTTGATAGTTGTAAGTTTGTTGTTATTTTATTGTTCATAGCTTTGATCTTCTTTTTCTTCTTTCTTTCTTAAGGGACATTTCTTATATAAATGTCCCTTTGACATTATATATAATAAGGGCTCGGTGATGATGAAGTACTTTAACTTGACCTTATCTGGGAAGCACATTATCTGCCCTACCATTCTAAATGATAGCTTTGCTGGATAGAGTAATCTTGGATGTAGGTCCTTGCCTTTAATGATTTCAAATACTTCTTTCCATCCCCTTCTTGTCTGTAAGGTTTCTTTTGAGAAACCAGCTGATAGTCTTATGGGAACTCCTTTGCAGGTAACTGTCTTCTTTTCTCTTGCTGCTGTTAATATTCTGTCTTTGTCTTTAATCTTGGGTAATGTGATTATAATATGCCTTGGTGGGTACATCCTTGGGTCCAAACTCTCTAAACTTCCTGGATTTTCTGGAAGTCTATTTCCTCTGCCATATTAGGAAAGTTCTCCTTCATTACTTTTTCAAATGAATTTTCATTTTCTTGCTCTTCTTCTTCTCCTTCTGGCACCCCTATGATTTGGATGTTGGAATATTTAAAGTTGTCCCAGAAATTTGTAAGCTTCTTCTCACTTTTTTGAATTCTTGTTTCTTCATTTTGTTCTGGTTGAATGTTTATTTCTTCCTTCTGCTCCAAATCATTGCATTGAGTCCCAGTTTCCTTCCCTTCACTGTTGGTTCCCTGTACATTTTTCTTTATTTCACTTTTCATAGCCTCCTCTATGTTGTGACCATACTCAACCATTTCTGTAAGTATCCTGATTACCACTGTTTTCAACTCTGCATCTGATAGATTGGCTGTCTCTTCATTGCTTAGATGTATTTTATCTGAAGCTTTGACCTGTTCTTTCATTTGGGCCATATTTTTTTGTCTTGGCACACCTGTTACATAGTAAGAGGTGGAGCCTTAGGTATTTTCTGGGGTGGGGCAACCCCTGTCACTGTGTTGTGGTGCTGTATGTGAAGGAAGGGTCCCTCTCACTCTCTTTCACTTTCTCTTAAAAAAATAAAACCTTTAAAAAATAAACTCTATCTGGAATCCTTGTTGATTCTATTTCATTTAATTATTTTTCTGTAGATTTGTTTTCATTCTTTTATTTGGAGCATATTTCTCTGTCTATTTTGTCTCTGTGTATTAAATAGATCTTCTATGACTCATAAACTTGCTATGATGGCTTTATGATGTAGGTGCTTTTTGGGGCATAATAGTGCAATCATCCAGATCATCTGAGCTCAGTGCTCCAGGAATGTTTCTTGTGTGTTGTGTGCCCCCTCCTGTTATAGTTGAGCCTTGAATGCTGTTGGCCATTTCATGGATGGAGTTGACCCTTTAGGCTGGTTGACTGTTAGCATAAATCTCGATCACTGTGTATGAGTCACTATGCATAGACTGCCCCCTGAGATGTACTTATTCTCAGCAGATTCTGGTGCCTGCTGGAATTCCCCTTTGCGTGTGCTCCTTGTGTGGCTAATTTTGTTGAGCTTGGGTGTGGTCTAAAGTCCCCTAATGGTTGTGTTGTTTCTGGGTCCACTTCAGCAGAGTTCAGGTACAGGTCGATGTTAGATATTCTGTGTAACTAGCCTTGGGCTACCTATCTGGAGCTGTCATGCTATTTAATGTTTTTGGCTATGTCTGCTGGTCCTTGGTGTGCCTGTGAGGGGCCAATCTGTGTACAAGGGTCAGCTTCTTCCAGCTTAGATCTGGGGGCAGGTCGGTACAAGGTCTGAAGTTCTCTGAAGTCCACCTCCACCTGTCAGCTACTCTACCTCCTCCTAAAGTTGCCTGGTCTTCCACCAGAGACTTATGTGGAAAGGCTGTAGAATGAGCCCAGGCTGCCATGACCCACAGACCCTTCAACAGGTAATGAGCTCAGTAGGTCAGGGCGACTGGGATCAGAAGGATGGGGCTAGTTGATTTCCTACTGGGGTACACATGATCAGACAATCAATAAGGGGAAAGTCAATCCTACTCCAGAGCTATGCCAGTCAGTCTCTGCCATTCCTCAACTCTGGCTCCTTCAGGAGGAGTATGCTGCAGGTTCAGGTTGGGTGCAGCCAGCCATCCTCTCTGCAGGAGGAAGCTCAGCAGGGTGGAGCCAGTGGAATTGTGGAGGACATATCAAAAGAGTCTCCCATTGGTAGTGGTGTAGGAAGGGGCCAAGCACTTCATCTCAGTCCCAGATAATAGCTTTCAAGGGAGACACACTCCGAATGTCCCAGCTCCAAGCAACACTACCTCCCTCTATCCTTCCCCAACTCCCAGCCATAGAACTGAGTTCCACAGGATGAGGTCACAGAGACTTGGGAGGGCAGATCCAAACCATTTCTCATTGAGGGTGGTGCCAGTAAGCCTGTGTGTGTGTGTGTGTGTGTGTGTGTGTGTGTGTGTGTGTGTGTGTATGTGTGTGTGTGTGTAGGGGGTCAGGCACTTCTTCCCTTTTCTGGGCAAGAGCACCTGAGGTAGACTTGCACCAAAAGGTCCCAGCTTTGAGCAGCTCTCTGATCCCCCCTCCCCCTGCCCCAAGACTAAGCTCAGAAGGGCAGGGCCCCCAGCTGCTGGAAAGGCAGGTCAGATGAATCCTGTTGGGGAAATATCATGGACTGAGCTCACAGGAGAGTTAGGAATGATCCCCACCCCATGATGTAGCCACATGACCTAGCACCCACCCATCTGATTCCCAGACAAAAAGCCTCTTACAGAGACGTGCTCCAAAAGTCTCAGCTCTGCCAGGCACTCTTATCCACCTGCATTACTGAACTCAGGAGGATGGGACCACAGGGAGTGGAAGGGCAAGACATGCAATTCAACAGGTGGAGGGAAGGACACTGGCTTTGCACTCAAGGTGGGTCGGAACAGTCTCCTTTCCAAAGCTACACAATTCACTGTCTGACTCTCTGCCAAGAGTTTCTCCAGATCAAGAGTGCCCCAAAAGTTCCTGCTGGGTACAACCAGCAGACCACTGTGCAGGACCTGAGCACCATAGAGTGGTGCTGCCAGTAGTTGGGCACTGCACTCCCAGGCTGGTGCTGTAACAGCAGGAATATTCAACCTGGGAAGGTGGCGTCTGGGTGTCTAGCAGATTCTCTTCTCTCCCAGGTTACTGAATCCCCACTGATTTTTACTACCAGGTACTGTTCAGACTCTTCTACTTGTCTCTGTTGCTCTGGGTTGGGGATTCCTACATGGGGTTCACACTCCATGCTCCTGGTGGGGGAGGAAGTTTTGCAGCCGAGATATTCCTCCAACTAAACTACTGCACATGTGTGCAGGGGCTAGCCCTTTCCACATCTCTGCCTTTGTCACCAGTCTCTGTGTAGCTTCTTCTGCAAATCCTTGGTTATAATATTTCAGTTCAGCTAGGCTTCAGTTGGTTTTTCAAGTTGAGTGCTCTATACTTTAGCTGTAAATATGGTTTGGCACTGGAAGCAAGTGAGTGTACCTTCCACCTACTGTTCAGTCACCTTGGAATCCATACCTACATTCTTAATTTTTTTAAGGAACTGTCTTAAATGGTTAAGAGTATATAGTTGAAAGGCCAATGAACATGGGATCAGTTATATATTTTTTTCCTGTCCCTCACTGATTGTGTGACCTTGGGCAAGTTACTTAACCTCTCTATGTGTCAGCTTTCTCACTTACAAAATGGAGATAACACTACACAGGGTTATGGTAAGGAATAAGTTAGATAATGTAGGTAAAGTATCTATGTAAAAATATTAAATGCTGAATAAACATTAAGAGTTGTGTTGTAGTCATTCAGTTATTCATTCAACAATTATTTATTTACTATATGTCCAGCACCATGTTAGGAAGATATGAAGTACAAAATATGAGCCTTGTTCTTGAGATGCTTAGAATTACTTGAAGAGATAAAACTAGCATAACATTGTATAATTACAGAATAATACAATTAAATATAAATGTTATTAAAAAGATAAAATAAATTACAGTATTTAGGGGAAGGCTTTAACTCAGCCCCAGTGTACTGGCTTGTTGACTAGCATTAAAAAATATGTGGGGAAAGAAATCTCTCAAATTGCTCATACTAAGCCTTCAGAGGTCTAGTTTTGATGCTGCGTGCCAGATGTAAATTGATACAGAGGGGAAAAAACTCCTGTTTTTACTTCTAAAAATTAGGACAGGATGGGGGGTATGTGTTTGAGAGGTGAACATATGTGAATAAACATTATATAGCCCATAATTGGTTCTTGATAATTAACATTACAATGTTTTCATTGGCAAAAAACGGATATTTTTCACTTAATGAATCAAGCCATACAAGTAATTTATTTTCACCTTGTTAAACCAGAACTCAAACACTGGAAAAAGGTTGCAAATGTATTTTGATGTATATTGTACTTTTTTCTTTGCAGGGTCACTATGGCAACTGCATCTTCTCAAGTTCTGATTCCAGACATCAATTTTAATGATGCCTTTGAAAACTTTGCTTTAGACTTTTCCAGAGAAAAGAAATTGCTGGAGGGGCTAGATTATTTAACAGGTGTGAAAATATTGTGTGTCTTTTCCTGTTTTAATTCTTTTCTTTTCTTGTGTTTATACTTTGAAATAATATGAAAAGGCTAATATTTATAATTAAAATGCTTTTATAACCTATCAAATGATACATGTATCTTTTTTATTTTTTTAAGATTTTATTAATTTATTTTTAGAGAGAGGGGGAGTGAGGGGGAAAGCAAGGGAGAGAAACATCAATATGTGGTTGCCTTTTACATGGCCTACACTGGGAACCTGGCCTGCAACCCAGGCATGTGCCCTTGACTGGGAATCTAACCTGTGACCTTTTGATTCACAGACTGGCTCTCAGTCCACTGAGCCATACCAGCCAGGGATGATACATGTATTTGTTTAGATAGAACACATTTTAGTTCATGTAACAGAAAAGAAAGATAGTTTGTCAAATATTTCTGGGCACAAAGTAAGTATACCACTCATACTTAAAGGTAAAAAAACAAGAAGTTGCTGATGGATTTCTCCTTATGAGCCTGTCAGTAATATACTGTTATTTGTTATGGGGATATAACTCAGGTGACACTTATAGAATATTAGAGAGTGCCCCACATAGGTACAGATACCACTCAAATGGTTTTGAGGAAACTTAAGAATTAGCAGATTGAAAAGAAAAATGTAAGAAATATCTGACTTGCATATAGTTTTATAAAATAAGGGAATACAATCAGCCTTTTGAAAATGCTGACTGACTATGTTCAGGATTATCTGAATTATTATTTTACAAGGAAAATACACACATATAATAACTTTGTATTTATATTTAGTTTGTTAATATATTAAAATAACTGTCACTTATTGAACATCTACGCATGCCAGGCATTGTATATTAATTTTATATCATGAGTCCTTACAACAAATCTATGATGTAATTATCATCCCTATTTTACAGATGGGGAAGCACATAGTATTTTGCACTTGGCTATACTGCCAAACTTATTCTGACATAAAAAGGAATAGGTTGAAGGTCATGTAATAAAAAAACTGTATGATCATTTTTGTTTAATATTTACATGTATTTGTGCAGACAGAGTAGATAATTGGTCATTCATCTCAATGACTTAAGCTTATATCTTTCCCTAAAATATCTTTATCAATGAAGCAAAAGTGAGTTGAGGGAACTTGAGCTCTTAGCTCTTTGCTTCAGGTTGTATTATGTGCAATCTAAAACTGTTCGTTAAAATCTCTCCACAACATGTTGGGTTGGGCAGTATGAGTAATGATTGTAAAATTCCAGAACAGAGAATGTGCTTTCCTTACTTTCCTTTTCCCCTTTCCCTACAGCCCCAAACCCACCATCTATCCGAGAGGAACTCTGTACTGCCTCCCATGACACCATTACAGTCCACTGGATATCAGATGATGAATTCAGCATCAGCTCCTATGAGCTTCAGTACACCATATTCACTGGCCAGGCTAACTTCATCAGTAAGTCATGGTGTAGTTGGGGCCTGTGGCCAGAGATAAGGAAATGTAAGGAAGCAGTAAGCTGCTCAAGATTGGCCGGGGCGCCACGAGGCAAGTGTTTGTAAGACACGTTAGGTTGTTTAGAACAGTGTTTTGTAGACAGTGTAAGCTCCCCCAGGGCCCTGCAAAGGGCTTACTGAAGTGTTGCCCATCAGAAAGTTGTCTGTTTTCATGCAGGGAAGTCACTGGGGCCACTTCCATTTGTTTATATAATTCTTAGCCTTTCCTCAGTTAATCCTTGTCACCTCACTCTCCCAAGTCAGAACAAAACTCACAATTCATTGCTGGGTTGCTAAGTCACCATCGTTGCTGATTCTATACATGTGCTCATCTCTCTCCTTGACTCTTCTTCCACTTCATTATCATGGTAAAATACAGTAATTATGTTCAAAGATGACTTACTTCCTTTACCATATCCATTTGTATTAGTGAATATAGTGACAAGCCTCCTGTCTCTGTCACTTTCCCCTTTATCCCTTCTCCCTTTCCTCCAAGAAGTACACCAAATATAAAACTTTATCAGTGGGCCAAAAAAATTAAGGATGTTCGAAAAGGCGTCATTTAGCTCCCACATTATGGTTTCAGCTTCTGATGAATTGGAATAAGAACTTAACTCATTGATTGCCAAACAAGAGGGTTCAAGGTTCAAGTTCTCCTCTATTCACTGGGGAAAAATGGAAATGAAAGCAGAATTAAAGCTGGATTCAAGACTGAAAGTGATTCCCATCCTAAGTTTGCATCTGCATAGCTGAAAATTAGTATTTTCTTTTACCTGTGTGTTTGCAATTCTGTTTCTGACTTCATAAGCTTGCATGAGAGGAGTTGTGAAACCCTCGCAATAGGCTCCTTTTCCTGAACTGTGAGGATTCTGAGCCACATAGTGGGGTGGGGAGGTGAGAGGACTTTTGGGGTTAAACTCTCTAAGACACTTGCCTCATGCAGCTTCAACCTAAGCCACTTAGCCCAGGTAGCTGTGATCTTGGGTGTTCTTGGGTGTTTCTTCAGTTTCTAAAGTCACAAACTCTAAGGCCTTCCCAACATACTGTTCTACACTGTCTCTCTTGCTGGGGAAAGTCTTAGAACCAGCAACCGTGCTGCTTCTTCCTAATACGGGGAGAACAGCAGTCTCCTGGAGTTGAGAATAAGTCCAAGAAGTGGAAAAGACCTAAAGGCTGTCACCTCTATTTTCAAGTATATATAATTCTTTGTAAAGAAAAGCTTGAAGGATATCTTAATAGCAATAGGATTACAGCATTTTCAAATTCAAAGGAACAACCTTAGAAGTTGTTTAGTCTAATCTTCTGTTCTACCAGACACCCAGTAGATGATTATCTCGTCTCTTATTGAATATTTCCAGTCATGGATCACTCATTTCTAACAAAACAGCCCATTTAATTGTTGTGCAGCTGTAACTAATTGTCAGTGCTTCTTTATAAAAGGTTTCTTTCTCCTAGTAAATGACAAAATAATTTACATGTGTATAATGTTTTGCTATTTACAAACACACATCTCATTTAGTTCTCATGAGTTCTTAGCCTTATGAAATGATATTAATTCTATTTAATAGATGAAGAAACTGAGGCTCAAGTTTAGTGAGTTGCACAAGTTCACAAAGCTACAAACTAATGTAGTCAAGATTTGAATCCAAGCCTGTCAGACTTCAAGCCTAATGCTCCTTGTATTAAACAATAGCTACTAGTTAGTCCTCAGCCTGCTCTTTTATGCCTCACTAACAACCCTAATCAATCTTTCATATGACAGTTCTTCAGATAATTTTATGTAGTTCTTATGGCCCTTGTAATTTTCTCTTTTCTAGGTTAAACATTCTCAGTTCTTTAAATTGCTTCTCATATTTCAGACCCTTTACCATCCTAGTCTTCTTTTTATGAATATACTCCTATTTGTCAAAATGCTTTATAAAATGTGCTATGAAAAAAAGTGAATACACTCCAAAAGTAGTCTGACTGGTTCTGAGAATAGCTGGATTATTTGTCTTGCATATAGCTGATGCCCTACCTCTTGCTCAGAACCTTTTTTTTTTTTAAAGAGTAGCCACATTAACTACTGAATGTTGGCTGAGCATATGGTCAGCAGACATCCCTGTGAATTTCAAATCCTATCCTGTTCAATTGATTGTCTAAATGGAAATACAACAACTTGAATTCATCCCTATTACATTTAATCTAGTTAGCATTGATCCCTCATTCCAGCCTGCCAATATCCATTTGAATCAAGTTTCTGCCTTCTAATAGATTTACTTCTGCTCCCAGCCTGCCTTCCATGTCTTCTGATCATAGATAGAAAAGTGGAGTAGGAGTGGGACAACAGCAGACCATGAAGCAAAGTTTTGGATGGCAATGGGCAGATAAGCTGAAACTATTTTACTAGGAAAAAGTATTCACAAAGGTTCAAGGCTCCAGTCCTACCTGCCAGTCTGGCCTGCCACCCTTGTCTGAACCTCACTTCCAAGTGCTACTTTCCCTTGTTTTCTGCATTTTCTGTCTTTTCAAACCTTTTTATTTAGGTATGTTTGACATACAAAAAGTTATCCATCAACAGCTGCGTGGATAAAGAAAATGTGGTATATACACACAATGGAATATTATTTAGCCTTAAAAAAGAAGGAAACTCTGCCCCTTGGGACAGCATGAATGAGCCTGGATAGCCTTATGCTAAGTGGAATAAGGCAGACACATAAGGACAGATGCTATGATGTGGCTTATATGGGGAGTCTTAAAAATAGTCACACTCCACCTTTTTTAACTAGAAATTTTATTCTTATTGGTTAGAATTTTGTCAGGAGAAGTAGTTCCCGTTATTTTTTCAACTTTATTCCTTCATTTTTAACTTTATCGCCACCTCATCTAAGATATGGAATAGTCATAAGCCAGTTTTGTTTCAGACAATGTTGTTAGCTGAATAAGAATTCCAAGAGATGTTTGGATGATTGTCTTCTCCATTACTATACAGCTTTCCTTTGTTTAAAATTTGTGTTTTGTGTTATGAAAGCTTTGACTACAACCTGGCTAGGAAGTCTGTAACATACTGCCACAATGATGTAACTTCTATTTCCCCTCCTTTTTATTCTCATGGGAATGCTTTCCACCACACATTTACACTCAGGTTCATTCCATATTGTGATCTTTCCCCCTTTTTTATTTAAATATTTTTTCTTTTTAAAAAAGATTTTATTTATTTATATTTAGAGAGAGGGGGAGAGAGAAAGAGGGGGAGAGAGAAAGAGGGAGAGAGAAACATCAATTTGTGGTTGGCTCTTATGTACCCCCTACTAGTGTCCTGGCCTGCATCCCAGGCATGTGCCCTGACTGGGAATTGAACCAGTGACCTTTTGGTTTGCAGGCCCAAGCTCAATCCACTGAGCTACACTAGCCAGGGCTAATCTTTCCCCTTTGAACATGGTGTATAATTCCATTACCATAATTCAATCATAAATCCCATCTCACCAAGACTCAGTAATACCTAGAGGATCACATATTTACCTTTATGAAAGTTAGAAATTATTTCAAAATTACAGAAAAGTTGCAAGACTAGTGCAAAGAATTCCCAAATACTATTTATCCAGATTCACCCATTGTTACTATTTTTCCCCATTTCCTTTATCATTTGCTGGATTTCTCTATGCTTATCTTTTTTCTTGACTATTTGAAAGTAAATTGCATACATCATGGCCTTTCACTCCTAAATTCTTCATTGTTTTCTAAGATAAGGAAATTCTCTTAAATAACCACAATGCAGTTATCAACTTTAAGAGATTTAACATTGGTGCAATACTTTTATCTACCCCACCATTCATATTCTAGTCTTAACAGTTGACCCAAAAATATCTTTTATAACCTGTAAAGGACCCAATATTATCTTTTATAGTCTAGGATTAGGTATTACACTTAAATGTCATATTTCTAGCCTCCTTCAATCTGAACCATTTCCTCAGCTTTGTCTTTAATGATATCAACATTTTAAGTGCCTTTTCATTTTATTATAATATTCTTTATTTTTAGTTTGTTTGATATTTCCTCATGATTATATCCAGATGATGCTTTTATGACTGGAATATTACTGAAGAGATGTGTCCTCCTCAAAACATCACACCTGGAGGCACATGATATCCATTTTTCCTTGATTGGTGATGCTAACTTTTATCTCCTGGTCAAAGGTGTTGACTGATTTGTTCACTGTGTACTGTTTTCCTTTTCAAATAATAAGCAATTTGTGCTGTGATGCTTTAAAACCACGAAAATATCTTGCTTCCTCATCAAACCTGTCCCACTCCCACTCCTGTTTTAACATCAGTAATTCTTTCCTGATTGATCTTTACTCTGATGATTGCAAAACGATGATTTTCCAACTGAGCATCCCCTCCCACATTTACAAGCTGGCACTCTTCATTCTATACTGTAAGCAAAAGTCCCACCCTCCATTTTTTTATTTAATAATCTGCATATTTGTATGGACTCCTGAATTCTTTTTTGAATGGTGGATAATGCTTTACTGTCCTTACTTATTTTAGTACTCAGATTGCTTAGATTTAGCCAATGGAAGCCTTTTAAACTTACTCTTGGGTCCTTATATTGTCCCATCATTTTCTTGAGCACTTCCTTACTTTCCAGCATAACAAGAGATTCTAGGCCCATTTTGAACTTATCCTTCCTGGGTTTTAATAAGCCATTTTCCTAACAAATCCTGGTTTGTTTTAGGGAGAGAATGGTACTAGAGACCAAGACCTGGACACTAGAAATACACACATCCACCCATGTATGTATATACACACATAATACAGGGTGGGCAAAAGCAAGTTTATAGTTACTCATATGGAAAATAGTATAATAATTAATAAATAATAATACAAGATTAAACTGTTTCATGTACTTACAACTGTAAACCTACTTTGCCCACCCCTGTATATATACATATACTTAACATATGTGCATATATGTATATCCATACACGTACATTTATTTATTTATTTATTTATTTATTTATTTATTTATTTAGATAATGTCGTTTTCTTTCGGTACCTCCAATTCCAGTCCATCATCACAGGTTATTTCTTGCCTTTACCCATTTCATATTTATATGTTCCTATTTCAACAATGAGAACCCTGGCTCCCAACATTAATGCACGTACTCATTTGCTCACTCCCATAATATATCAACAATAGTTTCAGATTTTGCTTTGCCCATACCACTAGAAAAACAACCAATATTTCAATGCTTGTTTGCAATTCTCCTCCTGCCCCCATCCCTTTGTTTTGGATATTTTTCATTTGAAATGCAGTTGGGTTCATTTGTTTCAGTTTGCCTACAGTTTTAGTTCCTACTCTTTCCAGTCATATTGATTTCATTTTAATATTCAAATTTATAAGTATTTCCAAAAGGAAAAACTGTACAAAAAGGTATACTCAGAGAAATGTCATTCTCTCTTATATCTTTTAAATCCTATTCCTCTATCCCCGTCCTTTGTAGATGACAAACTTCATTATTTTCTGGCTTTTTCTTCCTTTTGTTATTGTTATTTTTATAGCTCCAGGCATATGTATGTATGCTTTCTTATTTCCCTTTCTTCCTTGAAAAAAGTTAGCTTATTATATATAAGCTCTTATAAAATTTGCTTTATTCAATTAACAATATACCCTGGAAATTATTGTATATCAGTTCACAGAGATCATCCTCATACTTTTTTACAGATGCATAACACTTCATTGTGAAGTCTTTTTTGTTTCATAGTTTTAGAAGTGTGTCCGAAAGATCACATATTTCCCTCTTTGTATTAAAATTCTATGTGCATTTTATGATTAATACTATGCATTGATACACAGACAGCCAAACCCTCAAACATTGTCCCTGGTTCTTATCTTTTATTGTCTTTTCCTAAGAATCACTGAGCATTTCCACCAATTATTCTTTTTCCTATAACATAACTGTTTGCCCTCCACTGTCCTTCTTTTTCTACTTTTAATTCAGAATTTTATACTTTTTTCCTCAAATTGATTATAAACCCTCCCAATCATATTGCTTTCAAAAAATTAATTTGTTTTTATTTTCAGCCTCACTTAAATCCTTTACTACATCTGTATGGATGTGACTGAATTTACTATTCATTTTCATTGCCCTTTCCTTTCCACCCTCTGATAGAATTGTGTTTAAAAGGCAGTAAACTGACTGAAAACAAGATAAGAGAAGAGAGAAGAAACATAGGTAATCCACAGATACCTATATACATGTACATCCAAATACATGTTTTTAATTATGTACATTTTTCTCTAAGTCAATGTTTATGGTCTAAAGAGTTTCAAAAGTAAAAATGTAGATCTCTGATCCTTTTCCCTACTTTGGAAGAAAGAAGATTCCAGACAATAGTGTGTTTCTGGGCCATCCAACCTCAAATAGCTGCTGGAATCAGAACCAGGAATTAACAAAACTGTAGTGTCAAGTGAAGAGATGATATTTTGCTTTGGTTATCATGTTACCTTCTTGGCGTCCCTATGCTACCTTGGAACCCAACTGGTCTTGGAAGTAAGAGTGAGGATTAGGTGAAAGAGTTGAGTCATAGCCCTGGAAGAGTTGTTAATTTACAGAGTCAGCAAAACATTGTTGTTCACCCTTTGACTTGTGATGTAGTGGAGAAAACACCAGACTAGGATTAAAATGAATGAGGTTTTACTCTCAGCACTGTCATCAGCTATCTGTGGCCTTGGGAAAGTCACTTTTCTTCTCTCCACTTGTCTCCCATTTGTGAAATGAGGGAAATATGTGTCTAGGTGTCCTTTTGGATTTGAGATTCAATGTTTCTATGCTCTGTACAGGACTGCTCTATCCATATGAGGCCAGACTCAGCTCTCAGAGAATTGCAACTTTGTGGAAAAAAATAATAAAAAAGATGATTCTGTGATTTTGTAGAGTAGTTTTTCCTATATTGTTTGGAAGAAAATTGAAGTAACCTAACTTTTGCTAGTGGTTGCAAGTTACCAGGCATGAACCTAGCTCCATGGGAGGAAGGAAGCAGAGGAGGTTCATATCACTATATTTTCTAGGAGTGAGAAGAAAACAAAATAAAATTTACTTTTGAGAGGTTTATGGTGAATTTTCAGTGTGCTTTTCATTTTATTTCTATTACTTGCTGGTTAATGTCCTTGTCTTTCTACATATTACAGGCCTGTATAATTCGGTGGATAGCTGGATGATTGTGCCCAACATTAAGCAGAACCATTACACAGTGCATGGACTCCAGAGTGGGACACGCTACATCTTCATTGTTAAAGCCATAAATCAAGCAGGCAGCCGGAACAGTGAACCTACCCGACTAAAAACAAACAGTATGTTACAGTGATTCTGAAAGGAGACATCAGAATCCCCCTTTGTGCTAGGGAATACAGTTAGCCTGAGCAGACATCCACAGCTGTGCAGGAGAGCAGAGGCCCAGGAAAGGGGGGCTTTACTGTTGTAGTTTGTGCTTTGGTTAAGGGGTTTGTTCCAAGGCCTTGGAATATATGTGGACACAAATATACATAAAACAGCTGGTGGCTTAGGAAGATGTTAATGAAAAGTTTTTCACTGCCCCCCACCCTCATGCTTGGGGGACAGTTGCATAAAAAATACTACAGACATGTAACACTTAGCAATGGGGAAACATTCTAAGAAATGAATCATTAGCTAATTTCATTGTTGGCTGAACATCATTGAGTATACTTATACAAACCCAGATGGTATAGCCTATTCTACACCTAGGCTATATGGTATACCATTGTCCTATATGTGTTTCATCATGGAATTAAACATTGTGATGTGGAACATGATTATATTTGTAATAATCTGGTAAAATCCTACTGCAGAGAAGCCATACCTGTTAGAAATGCTTTTGACTACAAGTGACAAAAAATTCAACTTAGCTTAACAAACAGTTATTTGTTAGTATCTTTAATGAAGTATTTTTTCTCTTTCTAACATAGCAAAGGGTTTGAAGGTAGGGCTATTGCAGCAGTTTTTTTTTTAAGATTTTATTTATTTATCTTTAGATGGGAAGGGAAGGAGAGAGGGAGAGAAACATCAGTGTATGGTTGCCTTTCATGCATCCCCTGCTGGGAACTGGCCTGCAGGGAATTGGCCTGCAATCCCAGTATGTGCCCTGACTGGGAATCGAACTGCGATTTTCTGGTTTGCAGGCCCGCACTCAATCCACTGAGCTACCCCAGCCAGGGCTATTGCAGCAGTTTTATGATGTAAACGATCCATGCTTCTTCCTTTTTTCTGTATTGGCTTTTTGCCACATGGTCACAGTATGACCACTGCAAACTCTAGATGTCATATTTTCTTTCAAGGTAGGAAGAAGGGAAAAAAGGATGGTATAATGATAAGTATTTCTTTTATCACGAAAACATGCATTTTTCCCAGAAGGTTCTCCCACCCTGTCTGACTTCCTCTTCCAACTACTTCCATCTTATTAGCCACCCGTAGCAGCAAGGGAGGCTAGGTGCTGGAGCATTTAGCTTTTCTGGCCTCTATAGTGAAAGTGGATAAGAGAGAAAAAGTAGGGGATAAATGTCGTATTCACCAACAATGTCTGCCACACATGAATTTTGTATAATACAGCCCTTGCAATACAGAACAATTGGTTCTTAGTAATTTGATTTTGTCATATTACTATAAGGAATTCTCTGTTGTGAATGATCCTGTCCAATAAATATTTTCTCTGATTATTGATGATATAATAGTCACTCTAATGAAGTTCCCTAATTACATTATTTACATCCCAATTGTAAGAGGGAAAAATTGTCCTGTTGCTGAGTTATTTTTGGCTTTTTTTGTGTCACCCAGCAGCAATTATTTCATCTATTTCCTCACTTTGCTCAACTCAAATACCTCTTCCCCTAAAATCCACCCAAATACCAAACCACCCAGTTAAATAAAAGCTAAGTACAGGACACAATTGAGACACTAAGAGTTCCCTTTCAATTTCATAATATATGAAGGAGGCAGCATATTCTTATTTTATTGAAAATGGTGGCTTCTGGCCTGCTTCTTTAATATAATCAAACATCGGCCAACTTGTACTGACCCAAGAATAATCATCATATTAGGGCTTCTCTGGTAGTGATGTTCCAGGAAGACAAAGAACTCTTAAATGCATCCTCATGCATTTTCTCTTTTCTACTTTTTTCAGGCCAACCCTTTAAACTGGATCCCAAAATGACTCACAAGAAGTTGAAAATCTCAAATGATGGATTGCAGATGGAGAAAGATGAAAGCTCTCTGAAGAAAAGCCATACCCCAGAGAGATTTAGTGGCACGGGGTGCTATGGGGCAGCAGGAAATATATTCATTGACAGTGGTTGCCACTACTGGGAGGTGGTCATGGGTTCCTCAACATGGTGAGTAGATCTCACTTCTCTTTTCACATCTCTCCCCTGTTGCTAGGTTCCTGGGAGATCCATTTCTATACCACAAACACAATACCAATAAGTCAAAGCTAAAAGATGTGATGAAAACCATTCCTAGAAGAATGTGCCAGCCTTTAAAAATAAAATCATGGGAAATATACTGAGCTAGGAGTTGGAAATTGCTACACCACTGTAATTACTAACTCTTTTCCCCATTCTTTAATTGTTATTCAGTTACAGCTTTCCCCATTCTTCCCCCAATAGCTCTCCTCTGCCTCCCATATATCCCCCACTCCCAGAGATAATCCCCACTACATTGTTCCTGTCCGTGGGTCCTTTGTACACGTTCCTTACTGGACCCATTCCCCTCTTTCCCTCATTATCTCTACCCTATTCCCTCTGGTCATTGTCAGTTTGTTCTTTATTTCCCTACCTCTGATTCTTTTCTGCTTTTTCGTTTGTTTTGTTGATTATGTTGCACTTGTAGGTAAGATGATATGGTATTTGTCTTTCACTGCCTGGCTTATTTCACTCGGCATAATGCTCTGTAATTCCTTTCCTGATGCCACAAAGGGTAGGAGCTCCTTCCTTCTTTCTGCTGCATAGCATTCCATTGTATAAATATACCACAGTTTTTTCAAAGTGTTAATTTTACTTTAACTAAATATTCATTAATTTTTAAAATTACTGTTGACATTCGATATTATTTTGATTTTTCACATTTTTTATTGATGTTGAATTACAGTTGTCTCCATTTTTTGCCCTGCCATTCCCCACTGCCCCAGCCATCCCCACTTCTCACCCTTGATACTACCCATCTTTGGTTAGGTTCATGTGTGCTTTATACATGTTCCTGACAATCCCTTCTCTTTTTCCCTCCACTATCCCCTCCAACCTCCCCTTTGGTTATTGTCAGTTTATTCTTAATTTCAATGTATCTGTTTGTATTTTGCTTGCTCGTTTGTTTTATTGATCAGGTTCCACTTAAAGGTGAGATCATATAGTATTTGTCTTTCACTGCCTAGCTTATTTCACTTAGCATAATGCTCTCTAGTTCCATCCATGCTGTCTCACAGAGCAGGAGCTCCTTCTTTCTTTCTGCTGTGTAGTATTCCATCACATAAATGTACCATAGTTTTTTGATCCATTCATTTACTGATGGGCACCTAGGTTGCTTCCAACTCTTGGCTATTGTAAATTGTGCTGCTATGAACATTGTGGTGCATAGGTTCTTTAAAATTGATGTTTTAGGATTCTTAGGATATAATCCTAGCGGTGGAATTGCTGGGTCAAAAGGCAGGTCAATTTTTATTTTTCTGAGAAAATTCCATACTGTTTTCCATAGTGTTTGTACCAGTCTGCAATCCCACCAACAATGCACTTGGGTTCCCTTTTATCCACATCCTCTCCAACACTTGTTGTTTGTTGCTTTATGATGGCCATTCTCACTGGTGTGGGGTGGTATCTCATTCTGGTTTTAATTTGCACCTCTCTGATAGCTAGCAATACTGAGCATCTTTTCATGTGTCTCTGGACCCTCTGTATGTCCTCCTTGGAGAGGTGTCTGTGAAAGTCCTTTGCCCATTTTTTAATTGGGTTATTTGTCTTCTTAGAGTGGAGTCGTGGGATTACATTATATATGGTGGAGATCAAACCCTTGTTTGAGGTATCATTGGCAACTATGTTTTCCCATATGGTTGGTTCTCTTTTTATTTTAATACTGTTTTCTTTAGCCATGTAGAAGCTTTTTATTTTAATGAGATCCCATTTGTTTATTCTTTCCTTTATGTCCCTTTCTCTAGGGGATATATCAGTGAAAATATTGCTGCATGAAATATCTGAGATTTTCCTGTGTATGTTCTCCTCTAGGACTTTAATGGTATCACAACTTGTATTTAAATCTTTTATGCACCTTGAATTTATTTCTGTGTGTAAGTTGGTGCTTGAGTTTCATTTTTTTGCACATAGCTGTCCAGTTCTCTCAACACCATTTTTGAAGAGGCTATTTTTTTACTCCATTTTATGCTTCTTCCTTGTTTGTCAAATATTAATCAACCATAGAGACTTGGGTTTATTTCTGGGTTCTCTGTTCTGTTCCACTGGTCCATTTGCCTGTTTTTATGCCAGTACCAGGCTGTTCTGATTACAGTTGCCTTGTAATAGAGTTTGATATCAGGTATCGTGATCCCCCTTATTTTGTTGTTCTTTCTCAAAATTGTTGCCACTATTTGGGGTCATTTATGGTGCCGTATAAATTTTGGAAGTGTTTGTTCTGTATCTGTGAAATATGCTATTGGTACTTTAATAGGTATTGCATTGAATCTATAAATTGCTTTGAGTAATATGGAAATTTTGATGATATGAATTCTTCTGATTCATGAACATAGTACATGCTTCTATTTGTCTGTGTCTTCCTTAATTTCTTTCATCAGTGTTGTGTAGTTTTCTGAGTACAGGTCTTTTACCTGATAGGTTAGGTTTATTCTTAAGAATTTGATTTTTCTTGTTGCTATATCAAGTGGGTTTTTTTCCCCTGATTTTTGCTTTTGATGATTTATTGTTGGTATGCAAAAATGGCTTTGATTTCTGGATATTGACTTCGTATACTGCTGTTTCACCAAATTCATCTATTAGGTCAAGCAGTTTTTTTGGTGGAGTTTATAGGATTTTCTATGTACACTATTGTGTCCTCTGCAAACAATGACAGTTTTGTTTCCTCCTTTCTTATTTGGATTCCTTTTCTTTTCTTTCCTTTTTTTTTCTATTCTTTTCTTGCCTGATTGCTGTGGCTAAAACTTCCAACACTATATTGAATAGAAGTGGTAAAAGTGGACATCCTTGTCTTGTCCCTGATCTTAGTGGAAAAGATTTTCGTTTTTTCCCATTGAGTATGATGTTGGCTTTAGGTCTCTCATATATGGCCTTTATTATGTTGAGGAGTGCTCCCTCTATTACCACTTTGCTGAGTGTTTTTATCATAAATGGGTGCTGTGCCTTATCAAATACTTTTTCTGCATCTATCGATATGATCATGTGATTTTTGTCTTTGCTTTTGTTTATGTAATGTATTACGTTTATTGATTTCTGAATATTGTACCATCTTTGCATCCCTGGGGTGGATCCCACTTGGTCATGGTGTGTGATCTTTTTAATGTATTGTTGGATGTGGTTTTCCAATATTTTGTTGAGGATTTTAGCATTTATGTTCATTAACGATATTGGTGTGAAGTTTTCTTTCTTTGCTATGTTGGGTTCCTCTTGATAGGACCCTCTGTGCTTCCTGGACTTGCATGACTTTTTCTCTTATCAAATTAAGAAGGTTTTCTTTCATTACTTTGTCAAACAAGTTTTCTATTCTTTGCTCCTCCTCTTCTCCTTCTGGTATCCCTCTCACATGGATATTATTACATTTTATGTTGTCCTGCAGCTCCCTTAACCCCTCTCCATTCTTTTTTAGTCTTTTTTCATTTTTTCACTCTGTCTAGGGATTTTTTTTCTATCTTGTCTTCCAGCTTGCTGATTTGATCCTGTGCTTCACCTAACCTCCTTTTAATTCCTTTTACTATGTTCTTCATTTCAGATATTGTATTTTTTGTTTCCTCGTCTTATTTTTTTTTAATTAAATAAATTTATTTATTTTTTTTGAATTGTTTATGCTGTTACAGTTGTTCTATTCCCCCTTCATTCCCCTCCACCCTGCCCCCCCAACCCCCCCATTACCCCCCCCTTTAGCTTATGTCCATGTGTCTCAAGTCCTTTAGGTTCTGTATTTCCCATACTATTCTTGCCCCCCCCATCTATTTTCTATCTACTGTCTATGCTACTTGTTTTCTGTACCTTCTCTCCCCGTCTTCTCCTCCCACTCCCCTGTTGCTAACCCTACTTGAGATCTTCATTTCTATGTTTCCACTCCTGATCTAGCTGTCCTTTTAGTTTGCTTTCGTTTTAGGTGTGGTTGTTAATAACTGTGAGCTTGTTGTCCTTTCACTGTTCATGTTTCTTTAACTTCTTTTTCTTAGATAAGTCCCTTTAACATTTCGTATAATAAGGGCTTGGTGATGATGAACTCCTTGAATTTGGTCTTATCGTCTTATTGATAGTTTCCATTTCCTTTTTCATGCTGATGTCATTCACTGGAGCTTCCCTGGAGTTCTTAGAAGTTCTCACTGAGCTTCTTGAGCATCCTTATAACCATTATTTCAAACTCGATGTTGATAATTTGCTTCCCTCAATTTCATTCAGCAGTCTTTCTGGGAATTCCTTCTTGCCTTTTGATTGAGGTTTGTTTTTTTGTGTCCCCATTTTAGGTGACTCTTCTTATGTTTTTCTGCTTGTTGCTTTTATAAGCTTTGATACCCTACTTTGTGGTGTGATCTTCTGTGGTCGGAGACCTGTGGAACTCAGTGGTGCAGTCTGCTTGATCACCTGCACTTGATACTCTTTCCCTGCTCTTTATGCCTTTTATGTGGTTATGATTGGGTTGTTTTTTGTTGTTCTTTGGTGGGGTCTTACCTCTGGCTGACTGACTGAGAGTCACTCCTTCCTCCATGTCTTATATGCTGTTGTAGACGTGCTGCCAGAACAAAAAGCAAACAGCACAGGAAAGAGACCTATACCTGCAAAGATATCCTCTACCCACAATTACACTATAAACAGACAATGCACCAATATTAATAAAGGTGTAAAGAGGTTTAGATATTATATGAGTGAAAAAATGAATATGAGGTGACTAACTGAAAGAAAAGTGGTTTCGCAAGTGTAGAGGGAGGAGCAATGGTAAAAGTAGGGAATAGAGACAAGGCTAAGTTGGACAGAAAATAAAATTTACTTTGTAACAAAAAAAGGGTGGAGGTAAAGTGGAATGGAATAAGAGAGGAGAGGCATGTAGTATTAGGTTAAAACTGAAATTTAATGAAATATATATGTGTGTATGTATCTTGTGAGAGAAAAAATAGACAACCATAACAACTATAAATATATGTATATACTAAATATATATGTTATATATAAAATAATATTGCCCTAATTGCAGAAAATCCCCACCACAGAGATATCAACAACCAATGAGCTAATATTTATACAGGTGGAATGAGAATAATGGGGAACAAGGAAAGAAAGAAGAGCTTAAGGGATGTCTAGAGCAATAAAATTAGTTTGAGAGGTTAGAGGGAGAAGGAATACTAAAAACAAGGGATGAAAATCCAGCTAAGACAGAGAAAAATTAACATTTAAGATGAAAAAAATGGAAGGACAGGAGGAAGGCAAAATGGTATGGGAGATAGGAACAGTGAAATTTGAGATTTAAATACAAAGATAGTCACTATCTAAAATAAGATTAAAGAACTATAACAATAACCAGCTTATCCACAACCTACTAGCAAAGGTCGATAAAGATGGAGAGAGAGAATAAGGGTATTTTAAGAATGAAAGAAAGAATGTGAGATGACTAATGACATTCACAAATGGTTCTGAGAGCCTGGAAGGGGGAGTAATAGTAATAGTTTGGAATAGAAACAAGTCGTAGCAATAGAGAAAATAGAATTTACAACAAATATACAAAGGAGGAAGAAGGAGCTATTATGGAATAAAAGAAGGGCAGAACAATATGTGAGATTTGAAGTAAACTATATTATAAAATTTGGTGCCATATGATGCCCAAACTTGAAAGATATGAAATGAACGTCAAATATCTATACGGAAGAGAAGATACCATGTTGTTGCGCCTATCTCTATTTTCTCTGCTCTGCTGGGTTTAGTATATCATGGTCCAAGGAGCTGTGTAGCACATAATGTCTGGTGCAGGGCCTTATTCTTCTTTCCCTTGAGGAAATATACACAGCAGCAAGAAACTCCCAGGCCTGGCCTTACCACTCTGCGGAACCTATGATCCGTGCAGGTGGGGGTTGGGTTCACCTGTCTGTGAAAGGCTGTGGCTGACTGGAGCAAATCTCAGGCATTCAGTTCCTGCCTTTCAGACTTAAGCCTGCTGCTCTCTTGCAGGAGATTTGGCCTGAATTCACCACTCCGCTTTGCCCTCTGCTTGCGAGACATGTTGGGTCAGGTCTTCTTTTTCCTTCAGTGTATGCTCTGCCTTTAGTTAGCAAGGCTGCTGCATCCTGCCTATGCACACAGGCCTGAATACCTGGGTCCCAGCCAAGTCTTGGGTCTCACCTCAGCTCCCCTTTTAAGAGTTTCTCTCTTGCTCCCATACTACAGCATGAGTCCCTGGGGGTCCTATTTCCCCACACACTTTCTCTCCCCTACCATGACAGTCTCTCATGGTCAGGGCTAGCCAGCTCCTTACAGGGCCTCCAACAATTTTAATATTTTTTAAAGATTTTTTTTATTTATTTTTAGAGAGAGGGGAAGAGAAGGAGAAAGAGAGAAAAAGAAACATCAGTCTGTGGTTGCCTCTTGCACACCCCCTACTGGGGACCAGGCCTGCAAACCAGGCATGTGCCCTGACTGGGAATTGAACCAGTAACCCTTTGGTTTGCAAGCCTGTGCTCAATCCACTGAGCTACACCAGCCAGGGTGGGCCTCCAACAATTTTAGATAAAGTTTCTCTCTGAATCTTTCCCAGATGGTGTTAGAAAGATCCCCTTAGCTCTACAATAACACAAGGTGGTGACATCATGCTGTCCCTGCTCCCTCTGGAGGTCTTCAGCCTTGGGCCTGCCTGTTACCACTGTGCTGTTTCTGGAGCCCTCACCTCCCAGGACTTCTCTCACTGCCCTGGTAGCTCGCGGGTCCTGAGCAAATCTATAGCCACCCCAACTCTGTGCAGCTAGCAGTGCTTGGCTGGGCAGAAGTGGTGGTCCATCTAGAAAGCCCAGGTGGTTGGCCCCCAGGCACCCTGCAGGTGGCCGGTTCCTATGTAATCCTGCTTACTCCCCATGCTCTCCTCTACATATGCTCCCATTCACAGACTCTCACTCTCCGCTCTGTGTTCTGACTTCAAATCCTGTTTTTGTTTGAGAACAGATAAATGGAGCTGCCAGCTACTCTGCTACCATCTCAGAACCCCAATAGCCAAGTTTTTAAAACTCTCATAGTATAAACATTATGGATATAAATTTAAACTATATAAGGAAGAAACGTATCCTATTTCTTATATAGTTTGTATGGTATTTAGCATAATTCAGATCATTAATAAATGTTTATTTATCTCTCCTTTCCACCATCTCACAGGTATGCAATTGGCATTGCTTACAAATCAGCTCCCAAGAATGAATGGATTGGCAAGAATGCCTCTTCATGGGTTTTTTCTAGATGCAATAGTAACTTCATAGTGAGACATAACAACAAGGAAATGCTGGTGGATGTTCCCCCACAGTTGAAGCGTCTGGGTGTCCTTCTGGATTATGACAACAACATGCTGTCTTTCTATGACCCAGCTAACTCTCTTCATCTTCATACTTTTGATGTGACCTTTATTCTTCCAGTTTGTCCAACATTCACAATCTGGAACAAATCCTTAATGATCCTGTCTGGTTTGCCTGCCCCAGATTTTATTGATTATGCTGAGCGGCAAGAATGCAACTGTAGGCCACAAGAATCTCCTTATGTTTCTGGGATGAAAGCTTGCCATTAAGTTTCAAGTGAGCATAGAATTCACTGGCTCTCCAGTTCAACAGTTCTTCCCCTCCTAAACTTCAGTTAGTGTCTAATACACAAGATACAAAATAAAGTTCATTTGAAGCATCCAAAATAACTAGATATTAGAGATGTAATTTTTGTATGTTAAAGCTTACAATTCTATTAATGTTTTGAGTTTCTCAGAATAAATTATCTGAGTAGTCTGGGTTAAAGCCATTGGAGGAAAATGTAGACAATGCCTCTTTTGTCATTGGAGAATTAAAAATTTCCAGTAACTTAGAAGTATAAATTATATTGAAAGGAATTAAGATAATTCTAGGTAAAAATGTAGAATGATGTTCTGAACAAGGAGCTAGCTAGCCAGAAAGGAGGGTATCAACTTTTTTCCTGGCCAATTTGGCCCACTAGAATTTTGAACTATTAAATGATTGCATATAATAATAATTGCTTATAATAAAAACTATAGTCAAAAATTTATTATAAAGAAAATATGTATATAAAATATATAAAATGAATAGATATATTCATTTTATAATTATATATACATAATAAACTTTATAATTTGTTCATTTGGGTGAGAAATATACTGATAGGGAAAAAATTATACCATTTATTTTTGTCCCCTATAAGGAACATCAAAATCAGTCGACATTACTCACCTCCCTACATTCATCCCCTTTTATCCCCTTCTGTCACACACACATACACATGCAATAATGACATAGATGGTAGGAAGAGCTCTAGGTTGAATTAGGAGAGACTGAGGGACAATACTGCATAGGAGATACTATTGCTGGATAGAGAATTGATTCAGGTAGAAGTGTTATATGTAACAGTTTCATTGATACTACCTAATAAAGGAGGTTCCTCTGAATTGTTAAAAATTCTGAGACAGAATATTTCAAAACAGAGTTTTTCTATTCTCAAGTATATAGTTACTAAAATTATGCTAAAATGGATGTTCTTTAAGCATCTGCTTTATTTACGTAATCAGAATGGAGTGTTATAAATACAACTATTTGCACATAAATGTACTTGAATTTCTTTAAGAATGCCTGAGAACAGTTTGTCTTCTTTTTAAAATATTTTTTAATTATTATTTTTTAAATTGTTGTTCAAGTAGTTTTCTGCCTTTTACCCCCATCCCAGCCCACCCCCACAAGTTTGTCTTCTTAAACAGGTTGAATAGTTATTCCTTTTACAATTTTGTTTATACTCTTTATCTGCTTAGCCAACCCTTCACTGCAAATACAGTTATAAACTTTATCCCAGTCCTCATTGCTATCATTGAAGGGAATAAAGGTTTATGGTCTGTACTTTTCTCAATTCCACTGCAGGGATTAGGGATATCAGAACCAGAGCTTTTTCCTTTTTAGGAGTTGAGTCTGCTTCAAGGAGTCTACTTTTGGAGATTTGTGAAAACATTACTATTGTACAAGGTGGTAGCTCTAACGAGCCCCCCAGAATGGAGCATTGAAACAAAGCCAAAACTCTTGTCTTTCTTTCCATTACCTTGGTGGATGTTGATTCATCAATTCATTCAACAAACTACTAGATGCCAGGTACCACACTGCTGCTGAAATACTGATAAAACCCAGTTTCTGCTGTCAAATGACCTACTATTTTGTAGGAGAGACAAAGTATCTATATAACTCCTCTAAATAACACTTTTGTATTGTTTGTTCATGGAAAGGAAGCTGGAGACAGATACAAATAGCAGGCTCAGACTTACATATCTAGTGACAAAGTGAGCTTTTTTGTTTAAAAATATATATATACTTACTGCTAAATCAGAAAATGAGCAACCTCAGTAAGATTCTGCAGTGCTGGGAAATAGCTTTCTGTAATGGAGAACTCATTGCCTTTGGACAAAAACAAATGTAGTTTCTCTGCCATTTACTAGCAGTATGACCTAGGGCAAGTTCTTCATTTCTCTGAAACTCTTTCCTCTTTTATAAAATACCTACCTAACAAGGCTGTTGAAAAGATTTTAAAAGATAGCACGTGTAAACTGATGAGCACAGCACCTGGTATTTAGTTAAGTGTATAATGAATATTAAGCTCCTCCCCCTACCTCTCCCTGCCCCTGCCCCAGTAGAGTGTAGGGGTGCTTTAAAATGTATGCCTTTTGTTTCCAAGTTACTCTGGTCTCTCCTTTGTTGCCTATCCTCAAATTCTTAAACAAAACAAATTATTTTTCCCCCTTCATAAAACCTTTCACTGCCCCCTACACCCCATAGCATTCAGTAGAAGGTCCCAATTACTTAGGATTTGGCTTTTCAGGTCTCTATGTGTTTTCCCAGCTTCATCTTTGATGTCACTTTCCCCCTCATACTGGCTATCCTAGCCAAGCTCAACTATTTACACAAGTTGTTCTCTGGGCATCGAACAGAGACATAATGATTTTGACACCTAGAAGAAATAAACAGTTGTGATTTTTCTCAAGGGAATAGAATAAATATGATAAAAGTGCAAAAAATGTTCCACTTCCACCTCAGTCCAATTTCCTTTACCCTGTCCTTGGGTCTCCCATGTCATTCTCTTTTTGTGTGTGCCCTTCGGATTTTAGTGCCTTGAGACAAAGTTTCAACTTCCCTATCCTACTTTTGAGTCTAGCCTGTACCACCTTTCCCCATCCTCACCCTTCTTAATCAAATTAATTTCTGATCCTCTAGACTGGGTCATGTTCTTCTCTTCGGAGTTCCTATGGCACACTGAGCATCCCTACCCTGCATGCCTCAGTGATAGTCATATTGGATAGCAGTGTTTTTCAGAGTGTGGTCCTCAGACCACCTGTTAAAATCACTTTTGCTGTTTGTTAAAATAATTGATTCCGAGACCCTACCCATGATCTATGTAGAACATCTAGACACATGGGTGAAATTTTACATTTTAAACAAATTTTACATTTTAATAAGCTCTTCAGGTAATTCTGATGCACACAAATGTTTGATATATAATAATCATCTTCCCTACTAGATTATGAATACCTTGAGTGCAGGGACTGTGTGTTTGTTTTTGTTGTTGTGTTTTTAACACCTGACATAGTGTGTGGAACAGAGCAGTTGCCTGGATAATGTTTATTAAATAAATGTATGAATGAATGAGTGAGTGAATAATCAAGGTTACTAGTGTTTATTGTTTCCTGGGCAGAAGAGCTTGGTTATATCTCCATTTGGGCTATACTGATATTATTTTGCAGATTTCCCAGGATTCATATACATAAATGAGCATTGTCCTCCTCAAAAGCTCTTTGGAAGTTGACTGGGGGAATTGTCTGGAGCATGTAGCACCATTCTTTTCATTCACTTTTCCAACTTTGTTCTTTGAAGGTAGATTTAAGTTTTGGTTATAGTCAAAAATCACTCAGAGCTAAGCCTACTGAATAAATTATGAAATGGAACTGGGTTTGAGGTAAGCAATGAAGTTCCTAAGTCAAATAATGAAATGAAAATTACTTTCCAAGAAACAACATGGTAACAAAGTACTCAGTGGGAGTGTGGTGTGCCCCAGATACTTACTTCAGTAAACTTAAGACTTTCATAGGATATTGGCAATGCCAGGAACCTTAAGAGAAATCATTGAGTACCTTCAACTGAACCCAGTTGAAGAAAGGAAATAGGACCTTGTATTTAAATTAACACCTTCAAGGAAGGTAACTCCATAAGTTTTTGTTGTTGTTGCTCTACTCAATCTATTCTACCACAATCCTTTCTGCTAGCAAATTGTTCTGTCTACAATTTATGCTTATTTCCACTTTTATACTGTCTTATTGAAGAAAGCACAAAATAATAAAAAATAAAGTCAAACCTGTTTTGAGTATATGAAAGAAATTTTAGTGCTGCATTGGAGTTCTGGCTACTTGTAAGTAAGAGTAACTTTATTTGTATGTGTTTTTACCATGCAATTCCATTGTGTAACTTTGGATGCAGTGACATTCAGATTGCAGAAAAATCATTCACATACTCTTTTCAGCTAAAATACACTAAGTAAATTTTCTAATGTTTCGTGGTTTACATATTTATATATAACTATCTAGATGAAGCAATGCATGGATGGCGTTTTTGCAAAGTTCCAATATTTGATACCATTTCCTCTACAGAATGGAGGATGTGAGCCTGATAGGTAAGAACTACTCCCACAATTATTTTAATTTCTCAAGCCAGTTGTAGCCTTGGAGCCATCAGGCTGTATTTGGCTGTGCATTACAGGTTGGTCAGGTTGAATATCATCAGGTCAGGGAAAACTGCTTTTTGTAGTCTGATTTGCCAGCTTCAGACCAGTGTTGTATTGTTGTTGGCTAGAATATTTATTAGATGATTATTGACTATTTTTCATCAAATATTTTACCCAAGATTTTGTTTGTTACTGAGAGCTCTGGCCCAATAATGCCTCTCTTAGTGACAGAAATCTGACCATCTGTGGATTACACAGCCTCATCCCTCTAAAACATCCCAGCTTATCCAAAATGCTATATTATGAGTTAAATAAATATATATGTATTCAAGAGTTATTCATTGTCTCTCACTGGAGTTTAAGTTGTGGAGGGTGGAGATTAAAAGAAATAAAGCCATGAGTTGCTGGAATTGTCTAAATGATTTGGGGGAAATAGATGGAGATTTAGGCCAAGAGGATCCAGGGCATTGGAAATTGAGATCCAGTCACGAAGGCTTTGGTTTTAGGAGCAGTATACATTCAGGAAGACTAAAGAAATAAATGTATAAGGCCCAAGAAAACATGGCACAATTTCAGGGACTGGGGCAGAAGGTGGGATTTAAGGAAAAACAAAAATCCCAGTGCTGGAGCCTGTTGGTTAAGGTCAGGTTAGGGTCAGAAGTGAGCTGATTTGCTGTTCAAATGCTGGTCTAGGATGAGCCTGGGAGGTTCAGAATATTCCTCCAAGCTGGGTTTGAGCATACTTGAATCAGTAGTGGTTGCACTGAAACTAAAGGGGGCATATAATATGAAGCAAAGCCAGCTAGTCAAGAGTAGCAGCTAGAGCAATAACTTGTAACAGGTTGTCAGACCAAGGGCCTATGGGAACTATAGCCCAAAGGCAAGAAGATTAAAATACAAAAGAGTCAAGAATTTGGAATGTTGGGGCTAGTGGTCTAATTGGAGAGCAACCTGGGCAAAAACCAAATCTGGGCTTATTACCCACAGCTAATATTTTATATAATTTTTGGAAGTGTGATTTTTTTTTAGAAAGATGGGCTCTATTTAATGTGCCAGGCCAGAACAGACACTGGGTCTTTTATGTTCCCCTACCTAGGAATAAGGGAGGTCCTAAAGTCTAAGAGAAGCTGAGTCTTTAGCTAGGGGACAGGGTCTGTTACAAAGGTTAGGAGTAAAAGAGGCCAAGCAGGTTGTTACATAGATATTACAAATGTATATAGCGTAATAAAATAAGAATTCCTCACCTCCACTGAATTTCTAGGGGTAGAGGATCTAGTGGTCTTCCTATAACTATTGGGCATAATATACAAATTATAATTGTGACTAGTCTGGCCTGGTCATTCAAGAGGCATTTATTCATCACTCTTTACATTCCAAGTGCTCTTCTCATTTCTGTCAGGGAATATTAAGATAAAAGCATTCCTAACATTTATAATCTATTGGGATACCCAATATAATAATTCTTTCCAAGTACTGTATTTTGGCATGTGTAATTTACTTCCATGTTTAATGCACACCCACATTTTTGGCCCAAACTTTCAGGAAAAAATCTTTCATTTTAATTTTTTAATTCAATTTTTTGTTTATTTATATTTAGAAACAAAGCTGATTACCATGTTCCAGGGTATTGTTCTGCATACAGATATTGTTACTGCTTTCTAGAATTATACTTTTAATGCATAAACATAAATAAAAGAATTAAAAACATTTATGTAAATATGGAATTAGTACTACCCATGTATAATGCACATACCTATTTTTCCCTAAAAATTTTGGGCAAAAATTTTGCATTATACACAACAAAATACAGTAGTTTTGATCTATAAACTTGAGTTATTAGTGGTAGCTGAAAATGGAAGCCTTTACTGGAAATGATGGGATGACAATGGAAGCTCTTACCAGACTTGTACACAGGAGGTACTTAGTAAATACTGGTTGAATGGAATTAAAACCTGATAAGCAGAATGACAAGTGGGCCAGCTCTTACACTGTGAGGTTTTTCTTAGAGGAACGCTACATCACCACTCCTATAATCCATCTCAGATATGTATGCCTGGTCCAGTATTCCCACAACTGCCTCTTGGTAAGAGACTATTGTTTTTAAAGGCAAGTCTGCTTCAAAGAAAACAACTAGAAGAATTAATAAATTAGCTATCAACAAATGTACAGCCAGAGTGTAAAGTCCCAGAAAATGGAATTTGGGCTGACTTTCTCTTTGATGTACAGCAACAGGAAAAAGCCATTATGATCTGCATATATTTTTTAAGATGCAATGTTTTTAGCCCTGACTGCTGTGGCTCAGTGGGATGGGCACCATCCTGCAAATCAAAAGGTTGCTAGTTCAATTCCTGGTCAGGGCGCATGCCTGGGTTTCAGACCAGGTCTCCAGCTGGGGATGTGCAAGAGGCAACCAATCGATGTTTCTCATGCACATCAATATTTCTCTCCCTCTCTGTCTTTCTCCTTTCCCCTATCTCTAAAAATAAATAAAATATTTTAAGTCTATTTTTTAATTTTATTTTTCAATTAAGGTTGACATTTATATATTTATGTTACTTTCAAGTGTACAACATTGTGATTAGACAATTGTCTGCATATTTTTTTCTCCAGTTTAATGCCCTTAGTGATGAAGGAGGGTTCTTTGGTTACCAAAAATGTGAAATTCATAGTAAGCAGCTGTTGAGCACACAAGGCAAGGTGGAGTCCGAGGTCTAACTGATTCAGCAGGTAAAGATACAATGAATCATACATCTTCAGAGAAGAGCTGGTGATCTCTCTTTAGTGTCCATAAATTTATCTTTTTATCTCTTGTACAAGTTTAAATTTATTTGAGCTCTGCATTTATTTATTTGCATGAAAAATATCAGAAAGGAAATTGATTAACTATAGTTATTTCTGGATGGCAAGCTCTCTGATGACAGGAGCCTTGTCTACTTGGTTCACTGTTATATTGGAGGTGTCTAAACACACTTGGCATGCAAGTAGACAACCATCAATATATTGAAAGTGACTTGAGGAGATTGCGAGAGTAATCAATATATAATCGTGAATTTTCCTGGGCTAATCATCTTATCATTTGCATGGAGTGCTCAGATATTTTCAAAGATTAAAATTTTATTTTGAGCCCTGACTGGTGTGGCTCAGTGGATTGAGTGCCAGCCTGTGAACCAAAGGGTTGCTGGTTCGATTCCCAGTCAGGGCACATACCTGGGTTGCAAGCCAGGTTAGGTGCCCAGTAGGGGACACGTGAGGCAACCATACATTGATGTTTCTCTCCCTTTCTTTCTCCCTCCCTTCCCCTCTACCTAAAATAAATGAATAAAATCTTTAAAAAATTTTTTCTTTTGACTATACGGCAGCAAGATGGTGGCAGAGTCGGAGAATTTATCTTGCACTGCCTCCCACAATGAAGCTAAAAATAGAAATAAAGAGGAGAATAAAAAGGAGGACCAGTGCTGGGATCACCCGCCCACACAGTATCCACTGGTGAAAGGCCATTGGTATTTTTGCTTGCTGGACACAGAGCCTGCTGGAGACAATGTCACTTTTTTTCTTTTCTTTCCCTTTTTTTTTTATGAGGCCTATGCACAGGACTTGCATTCCCAGCCACTCTTAAATTTGGCTCCAGTGATGGAAGAGCAGAATGGATTGCAGTAGAGTGAGGAGAGTCTGGACAAGGAGGCTTGCTGGAGAAGCATGGGGGAACAGCTGCTGGGTTCCCAGTGCTAGGATGTAACACCATACTACAGTGGCCATTTTTCTTCAGAAGAGCAAGCCACTCCCTGAGGAAAAACAATTATGATAAGCTGAAATGCAAATGGCTTAAATACTCCAATCAAAAGATATAAGATAGCTGAATGGATAAGAAAACAGGAACCATGCCCTGGCTGGTGTGGCTCAGTGGGTTGAGTGAAGGCCTGAAGGCTGAAAGGTCATAGGTTTGGTTCCCAGTCAAGGCAAATGCCTGGGTTGTGGGACAGGTCTCTGGTTGGGTGTGTGTGAGAAGCAACCAACCATATGTGTTTTTCTCCCTTTCTCTCCTCCCCTCTAGAGATAACTAAATAAAGTATTAAAAAAAGAAAACATGACCTACATATATGTTGTCTACAAGAGATCTACCTCAGAACAAAAGATATGCAGAGGTTGAAAGTGAAGGGATGGAAAATATTCCATGGAAATGGACATAAAAAAAAGGTAGGGTAGCAATACTTATATCAGACAAAACAGACATCATAACAAAGGCCATGACAAGAGAAAAAGAAGGTCATCACTATATAATACTTAAGGGAGTAGTCCAACAAGAGGACATATCTTTTGTGAACATATATACACCCAATATAGGAGCACCTAAATATATAAAGGCAATCTTGGAGGACATTAACAAAGGAATAAACAGAATATAGTCATTGTAATAGATTTTCACACCCCACCATAAACAATAAATAAATCTTCTGAACAAAAATTCAACAAGGATATTGTGGCACTAAACAACACTTTAGATCAAATGAAATTATTTGATTTATACAGAACCTTTCACCCCCAAAGAAGCAAAATATACATTCTTCTCAAATGCACATGGATCATTCTCAAAGCTAGACCACATGACAGGACACAAAACAAACTTCAACAAATTCAGGAAAATTAAAATCATATCAAACATATGGTCAGATCCCAATGGCTTGAAAATAGAAACCAACCTCAAGAGAAAAATCAAAAACATCCAAATATATGGATTAAATAATGCATGGATTAACAATGAGATCAAGGAAGAAATTAAAAAGTATCTGGAAACAAATTAAAATGAACACACAACCTAAGGCAGTCCTGAGAGGGAATTTCATAGCAATACAGGCCTACCTAAAAAAGATGGAAACATTTCAAATACACGACCTAACCCTACATCTCCAAGAACTGGAGGAACAATAACAAACAGCACAGAGTGAGTACATGGAATGAAATTATCAAGATCAGGGCAGTATTACAAAGACTAAAAAAATTTCAAAGGATCAATAAATTCAGCAGCTAGTTCTTTGAAAAGATAAATAACATTAACCAGACTGATCCAGAAAAAAGAGGACCCAAAAAGATAAAATCAGAAATGAAAGAGTAAAAGTAACAACTGATACAACAGAAATACAAAGGTTTGTAAGAAATTACTGTGAACAAGTATATGCTAGGAAATTGGACAACCAGGGCAAAATGGATAAATTTCTAGAAACATACAGTCTTCCAAGACTGAGTCTGGAAGAAGCAGAAAACCTGAATAGACCCATAATGACCAGTAAAATTGAAGTGGTAATGAAAAAAATCCCTCCACACTATAGTCTTGGACCTGATGGCTTTACAGACAAATTTCACCAAACATTCAGAGAAGAACTAACACCAATCCTCAAACTATTCCAAAAAATTAAATGGAAAGAAAACTCACAATCTCTTTTTATGAGGCTATTATCCTAATACAAAACCAGATAAAGACACAACAAAGAAATAAAATTACAGGCCAAAATCTCTGAAGAAAATAGATGCTAAAATCCTCCATAAAATATTAGCAAACTGAATAGAACAATGTATTAAAAAGATCATACATGGAGGAAAGAAGATGGTGGAGGAGTGAATGGAAGTCACACTGACCTCCTCACAGGACCAATCTGGAAGTACAATGGACTGTGGACAAACCACTCAGAACAAACAACTGAGCAATAACCAGAGAGAGGCATATAACTTTGGATATACAGAACCAGCTTTGGCACAACTGGTCTGGTAAGGAGTGCAGTGGAGACGTGAGAGGGCTGGCTGGATACCCATAGGCAGCAGCACTGGCAGGGTAATTAAGCAGCTGGTTAGATACCCAAAGAAGAGTGGGGTATAAACCCTAAGCCAGGATTCCCAGCCTAGAACACCAGAACCCAAAAAAGTACACAGATAGCAACCAGTGGAAAAAGCAGCAGGGTTGCTCTCTGCCAGAGACAGATGGTTGGAGATGGGTCCAACCATTAAACAGACAGATGGCTGTTTAATGGGCCAACACACCAATTTTCATTTACAGCCACTTACTCAAGGCTGAGGCAAAGGCATGGGCAGAGTGGGCTGGAGATGCCTGAGGAGAGACTGGGGATGGAAGCCTTGGGAAGAGAACTGAGAGAGTAGCAGCCAGGATCCTGGTGCTGAGTTATCCTCTGGATAGCAGCAGCCTTTGTACTCAGGCAGATCACTGCTCTCTGAGTGGCAGGAGCCTGAGGGGAAACAATAGCTGTGACCCCAGAAGGGTCTCTGCCCTGGCTCTTCTGTGCATAAGCCTGACTGCTGAGTCCCAGTGATTGGTTGAGCAACTGAAGGAGACAGCCAGAGACAGTAGATCACTGGCAAAAAAGGAGCAGAGTGGACTAGAGAGAGACTGGGGATGGAGGCTTTGGGGAGAGAACTGAATAAGTAGCCACCAGGATCCAGTGCTGAGCCAACCTCCATATGCAATAATCATCCTGCTCAGACAGACTACTCCTCTCCAAGCAGCAGCTACCTAAGGAGAAACAATAGCCCCCACCACAGAAGGGAATCAGCCCTGCCCTACAGTGCTGAAACCTGACTTCTGAGT